TATGACGTGGGACAAGTTACCACAGTGTCCACATCTGTGAAATGGGTATAATAATCCTTACCTCTGACAGAATTGTTTTGAAGGAATATAGTGTGATATATTAAAGACCTAGTAGTTGGCACAGAATAGCTGCTCCTTAACCGATATTTCCTATTATACTAAAGGACTGGAGTAAAACATCCAGTGAGTTACATCATGCATATTCCTGCACACGATAATATGTAAGAATTTCACCTGAGGCTAGGAAGCCATAGAATCCCTCTCCTTTAAACCAGAGGCTGTCATCTCTCAGGTTTATTGAGCAACCACAGGACTGTGGACCTGCAGTTTCCCTATGGCCATTCAGGGCCAGGTAGTGAATAATGATCATCAACAACAAAAAGGAGACCTATTGGCAGTGTAATATGGCAGTGCTCATCAGCACAGGACCACCACTGAGTCACTACCGGATCGAAACAAAATGTACTCTCTGCTAACAAATGCTAAGGACCTGAAAACTCAGAATAATTTTGCAAGAACTGTACCTTTCTGAGAATAGTGAAAGAAAGACACTTCAAGAGAAGCAGCTCATGTCGTAAGTCACAGACAATACAAGTTCTCTAGAGCATTAGCCATAGATGTTCTAGGAAATAATCCATAATCAATACTCACATTATGCATTATGGCGGTCTTGGATGAAAGGCACAAGCAAGTTGGTTCCATTGACATCACTATGCCTCAGATATTTAAAAAGATGGGACTAGAAGAATGCACCAGACAGCAAAACTTCCCAGTGACAGGAACGCCAGGTGCATGATGCCAGGAAAGGCAGGCATAACCCCAAAGGCATGAAAGAGAAGCTCTGATTGGCTTCAGCTTTCCAGAAGGTGGGAAAACTCAGGCTGGGTACAACCAGACTCTTGCCTGATATCTGAAACATCACCGGAAAAGCATAGCCCAGGACAGCTAATACACTTAAGAAACCCCTACTGAAACCTGGAAGGCAGCCTTGAAATAATGATGATAATGAGCAGCTGAAAACTCAACCTTACATCTGACTGTGTGAGGTTGGGACTGAAATGCTGGAAATTGTAATGGGTGTCTGGTGACCCATAAGTATGGCAGTAACTCATCATAGAGCTTTTGACTTACTGGAAGAATAAGCATTCCTGAACTGGGTCAGATTCCTGGTTCAATCAGTGTTGCCCACAGCAACCCCAAGAGGCAGGATCCGGGAGGGCGCAGATGCTCCGTCTGACCTCAGTGTCAAAGCCAAGGCATGTCCTAGTTTCTCTCAGTAGCCACTCCCAACTCTGTCATTCATAAATTTGCCCAGACCCTTCTTAAATTGCACTTATATATCCTGCCAGGACCACCTCTTGTGATGATGAGTTTTAAAAGATTATTCCTTGCTGTGTTAAGCAGTACTTCCTTTCATTGATTACAACAAGAAAAAGAAGAATTAGGGGTGAAACAGCAGAGAGGCTAATGTTGCTTTCATCAAGGGATGATCTTGTGTGTGGAAAGTGGAAATATTCAAAAGCCTGGAACCACAAGGCATTTAAGCAGCAACCATGAACTGAAGAAATTTAACGACTTTAAGGGTTTTGATTGATGCAAGTCACTCGACATGTGTTTATGAAAAACAGGACTGGACAAAGGTATAACTTCTGTTAGAGTTACCTAGTTAGAAAATAGCTCAAATGGCATGGAGTCCAGCAATGTTTTCAATCACAAAACCCTGAGTTGATTGCAAATATGCAAGGATCGGAGGTTAATAAAATACAGGAAAATCGACTAGGAGACACTGAAATGAATACCATGGCTCTCTGCACAGAGATCCCACAGAGCCTCCAGGAAAAAGCACTACCAATCCTCAGTGGGCATGAAGATCTCACCCATTGGCTGAGCTACAGTAAGTATCTCAGTCAGGATTAGTCCGATCAACTACGAACACTCTACTTGCAATATGGTACCCTGGATTGACTCCTGGAGCAGAAAAAGACATGAGTGGGGAAACTGGTGAAATCCAAATAAAGTCTGAAGTTTAACTAATAGTAATGTACCAATATTAATCTTTGTTTCGACAAATGTGGCATAGTTATGAAAAATGTTGACATTAGGGGAAACTGGAAGGGTATCCAAGAACTCTGTACTATCTTTGCAACTTTTCTATCAATCTAATATTATTCCAAAGTAAAACATTTATTAAAATTAAAAGAAAGTTTTTTAAAGCAAACATATTTCATGACTCTTCAGAGGCACTCTACTGGGAGTTGGGAGTCAATAAAAACCATCAAGAATTTTAAGAATCTTGGTTCACAGCAAAGGACACGAAAAGACATTTTTCCAAATAAGACACACAAATGGCCAACGGGTATTTGAAAAGGTGCTGAACAACACTAATCACCAGGGAATGCAAGTCAAAACCACAACAAGATATCAGTTCACACCTGTTAGAATGGCTATTATCAAAAAGACAGGAGATAAGCGTTGGCAAGGATGTGGAGAAAAGGGAATTCTTGTGCACTGTTGGTGGAAATATAAATTGGTATAGCCACTATGGAAAACAGTATGGAGGTTCCTCAAAAAACTAAAAATAGGACTACCGTATGATCCAACAATCCTCTTCTGGTTATACACCCAAAGAAAATGAAATTAGTACCTCAAAGAGATATCTGTGCTCCAATGTTCATGGCAGAATTATTCACAATAGCCAAGGTATGGAAATAACCTAAGTGTCCATCAATGGAAGAACGGATAAAGAAGTTGTGGTGTATACATAATATTCCACACAATGGAATATTATTCAGTCTTTAAAAAGAAGGAAATCCTGCCATTTGCAAAAACATGGATGAACCCGGAGGATATACTAAGCGAAATAAGACAGGCACAGAAAGAGAAAAACTGTATGATCTCACTTACATGTGGAGTCTCAAAAAGTTGAATAGAAGCACAGAGTAAAATGGTGGTTACCAGGGGCAGGAAGGTGGGGGAAATGGGGAGATATTGATCAAAGGTGGCAATATGTAGGATGAATAAGTCTAGAGATCTAATATACAGCAAGATGACTACAGTTAACAATACTGTATTGGATACTGGAAATTTGCCAAGAGAGTAGATTTCAGGTGCTCTCACCACACACACAAAAAAAGTAACTGTGAGGAGATGGATATGTTAATTAGCTTGACAGTAGTAATAATTTCACTACATATATGTATATCAAATCATCATGTTGTACCACTTAAATTATATACAATTTTTATTTTTAAAATTAAAACAAAAAACAAATCAGGATTCAGTTGGGTGAGAATTCCCTGATACAAACTGGGGGTGGGGGGCATGTGTTAAATATAAGGAAAAACTAAGTGGATATTTATTAGGATATGGAAAAATTAAGCAGATAGCCACGGAAGGCATGGTGAGTCAAGTACAGAGGCAACAAGTGTGAAGATGACCAAGACCATAGAGATCCATCACAAAGTCACGTCATCCCAAAGATAACCATGAACTTCCAAAAAATGGGCCTCATGATGGACAGCACGGGCCACGTTCTACACTGACATGTATCCTCTCGACCACCATATAATTTAAAGAACAGTAGTTATACTTGCAAAGCCCAATAAGCCTAAAACCTATAAACATCCTGGAAGGAAAAGACTAGAACAAAATCAGAATTCTGTCACAACACCAAAAACAACATCAACGTTTACCAAAACACAAAATAAAGTTACTCATGTAATTAAATCACCATTCATTGACTTACTTGAGTAGAGATATGTTGTTAGACATAATCAGCAAGCGCATGCATGAAAAAATTAACTGCTTATTCAAGAAGATTACAGAGGCAAAGAGGCAAGGCAAGAAAAAATAAAGTACTTGAACAGCATTTAAAAGAAATTGTATCAAATCTTTCGAAAAGCAAAAGGAAGACTGCACTGAAAATATATGGCTGATTGAAAGCTCTGAACCTTGGAGATTTGGAGGGTGATGCCTAAAGATCAGAAAAATAAAGCGATGTGGCTACCAGAAGCAAAAAAAAATTGCCAAGACAGATTTATGGAAATATGGCCTACTTAAATATTTTGGCAAGTGGTTACAGAAACCATGAAAATGGCTTTCAACTGGACAGTCTTGGATCTTAACCCAACTTATACATTCCAGCTGAAGGTGCAAGAGGTTATAATTACAAACACAGCTCCAACTAGAAGCCTGGTTTTGACACCTAGAAATGGGTACCATTTCCCCACCTCCCCCCATCACCAAAATTAACACACACAAACAGGCCAATTGCTTTCCTACTGGCTCTAATCTATGCTAATCATTGGGGCAGGTCATTAGAGCACATTCAATCAACAACACATCCAAGAATAAAAAATGTTTACAAAAATCGCCAATTTGTAAAAAAAGAAAAAAAGCAAGCATTTTGGTTTTGTTGATAATAAATCAAGTCTTTGTTTTTAATGAATTTTGTTTGCACTAGTTGATGACAAAGGGAGGTATGAACGAATCCACTGTGCATATACGTTATAGATTTTACACTCTTGTGAGCAACGACAAATATTTTAGAGGGAAATGAATGAACCCAGCAAGGTATTTATGGTTTTATTGCAGGGTTAGCCATTAGTAGAGCAAACTGGGGGGCACTTTTCCTAATCTCTGAGTCTTTTTCCTAATCTGTGAATGAAATACCTAGGTCCACTTTTCCTTTGGGAAGAAACTCTGTCAAACCAAATGACAACCTCCAAACTCCATCAATCTGTACCTCTCACTTACCGAGGGATGATATTCTAAAGGCCACATAAACAGAGTTTGATGAATGACCCAGTTCTATGCAAACGATTTTAAAGTGGAATTATTACTCAAAGACAGCAACATCATTAGCCTTTTCTATTCCTGTAGATAATTAAAGCCCTTATTTATACAATTTATGCCAGCTTCTGTGGGCCAGAATAAGTTCAAATCGTTCTTACGTGTTTGTTAATCCAACACCAGAATTTAAGAAATGCGGCTCTACTTACAGTTACGAATGTTAATCCACTCGATTTTAGAAAAGAAAGGATGGCAGCAAAGGTCTTCAAACTTCAGTCTCTCTTTCTGGCCACACAATAAACTCTGAATCAGATCAAGTAATTCACTGCTAACTTTGGGGTCTTCTGGAAACTTCAAAAACCGCTATTCCAAAAAATAAAATAATTATTTCCTTAGTAAATACAGCTTCTCATGTCCACAAGTTAAGAAAGTATTTCTCATATATGCAAGTTTCTTTTATTTTTAAAGAAGGAAGTTTTGTGCCCTCTTAACTTTGGACCAAAGGCATGCTCCCAAAATAAATGTCCTGTTCACATCAATAGGCCTAGTTCCTTTGCAAGGGTTCAATATTCTTCATGACTTGACCCTTGTTCCCCTCTCCCATCTCATCTCGCTACACTCCCCACCTTGCCCTTTGCTGTCCAACAATGATGAGCTATTTAAAGCTGCCTGAACAAGTCACGCTGTTCTCTCTGCCTAGAACACCCTCCCCAACCCAAGCCCCCACCTTGCCTTCTCCGCCTACCTCTTCCACCTTATCTCTCCCTCCTGCATGCTCTCTCTGTACAGTCATGCGCCACATAACAACGCTTCGGTCAACAATAGACCCCATATACGATGGTGGTCCCATAAGGTTAGTACCATTTAGCCTAGGTGTGTAGTAGGCTATACCATCTAGGTTTGTGTAAGTACTCTATGATGCTCACACAATGACCAAATTACCTAGCAACACATTTCTTAGACTGTATCCCCATTGTTAAGCAACGCATGACTGTACTCTACTTTTCCACGTAAACAATGTATTTTGATTTCCGTGTGATGATGGAGAAAGAAAGCAGAGAGCCTTCTCCTTATTGCTCATCACCATAAACCTAGTACCTAATAGCACCTGGTGCAATTCACTCATTATCGAACGAGTGGATTGAAGTGAAGGAAATAAATTAGCCTCAAGAATCATCTAAGGGGAAGCTTTAACTCAAGAGGAGACTCAAGAATAACAAAAACTATATGTATGTATTAAGCATATAAAATACGCATAATACATATAAAAATATGTAGTAGGAATTCCATAAAGATGAAATTGGGTGAGATAAAAAAAACTTGTGGGGGGCCAGCCCCGTGGCTTAGCGGTTAAGTGCGCTCACTCTGCTACTGGCGGCGCGGGTTCAGATCCCAGGCGCGCACTGATGCACCACTTGTCCGGCCATGCTGAGGCGGCATCCCACATACAGCAACTAGAAGGATGTGCAACTATGACATACAACTATCTACTCGGGCTTTGGGGAGAAAAAGGGAAGAAAAAGGAGGAGGATTGGCAACAGACGTTAGCTCAGGGCCAGTCTTCCTCAGCAAAAAGAGGAGGATTATCATAGATGTTAGCTCAGGGCTGATCTTCCTCACAAAAAAAAAAAAACTTGTGAAATAAGTTCTCTTTTTCCTTGTGAAACTAAAACATATATATTTATCATATCCTTAAGAAATGGGCTTAGGGGCTGGCCCCATGGTGTAGTGGTTAAGTGTTCGCGCTCCACTGCTAGCAGCCTGGGTTCGGATCCCAGGCGCGCACCAATGCACCGCTTGTCAGGCCATAGCTATTGTGGCGTCCCACATAAAGTGGAGGAAAATAGGCACGGATGTTAGCTCAGGGCCAGTCTTCCTCAGCAAAAAGAGGAGGATTGGCATGGATGTTAACTCAGTGCTGATCTTCCTCACAAAAAAAAAAAAAGAAAAGAAATGCGCTTAATATAGTAGAATACAGTTATGAGAAAATAGTTTTAATTCTACTTTATATATATATATTATTGTATTTCTAATTCATGTCCTCATTCAATTTTACTACCATATTCCATAGCCTCTAGCACTAAGAAGCAGTATACCATGATATCAAGAGCATGGACTTCAAAGCGAGACTGCCTATGTTATTTTGGGCAAGTTACTTAACCACTCTGTGCTTTGGTTTCCTCATCTGTAAAATGGAAATAATAATAATAATATCTACCTCACAGGGTTGTTTGAGGATTAACTGTTAATAAACTATATTTCATCAGTTCTAAGACACAGATTTATTCACATTTAACAGCTCTGAAATCAAATGCATTTTATAATCAATGAAATATCTTAGATTAATTGGCAGCATTTTTTTAATGGTACATAAAACAACAGCTTACAATTACTGGCAGCTGAGAGTCAATGAAATTCAATTAATAAAATGTTTAGAACAGTTTTTGGTACAAAGTGCTATATAAGAATTTGCTATTGTTATTATCCAGTACTGCTGGTTGACATTACAAACGTTCATTTACACAATTTTTAAATGACATTTCTCAGTATTACTTCAAAATCTACTAATGGCTCTTTACCTGGAAATTCATGATGTTATTGAAGGTTCTGGCTGAGGTTCCCTCAGTGAATGGGGTCCTTCCATAAACCATCTCATAAGCAATGACTCCCACTGACCACCAGTCACAGTCTAGGCTGTAGAGGCCTTTTCCATCCCCATTCATCACAGTCAGCACTTCAGGGGCCATGTAATCTGGGGTCCCAATCGGGAGTCTGGCATTCACCTGGAAACCCATAAATAAAATGAACAGAGCAAACTTTCAATTATCCTCAAATAGATTGTCAACAGCCCCATTTCAGACACAAGCTGATTTGCCCTGATTACTATTCTTTCAGGCACTTAAACCTTCTGTCAAGTGGCACACTGTCAGGAAATGCAAACGATTTACTAATTAAAAAAAAGAAAAGTACATAATATAATCCAAAGGCAAAGGGGCAAGCGTTGTTGCTGATATACACCCTTTGCTTACACAAATGAGAGCTGTGTATACACCTGGAATGGAAGGTGTCTTTCCTGATACATTACTGATATGAAAAAACATGTCTTACTTATGAAAACAGCAAAATGATAATAAATCCCAAAGATGAATCTATAAGATCAATCTATTCCATTATTGAAAATCTAGCAGCTTAGCTGGCAACACAATATTACAAACGTGTTATATCTCAAGCTTTAATATTTGGAATCAACATTCCTACTTCTGCCCATCCACAAGGCAAGGCATGATAAATAACTTCCACCAAAGGCCAAACGTTAAAGAGTTCATTTTCCTCACCACCCCCACTCCTGTTCCTGTGGTTCCCTCCTCACTGTTTAGAAACCCAGGGCCCTCCAATCCAATGGCACCCAAGCACCTGACCTTGACAAAGAAAGATTAGGACAGTGTAGGAGGTCTTTTTATGAAGCTAAATATATTCCATTTAAAGAAGTGTCTTTTTTTCCTGAGAATTTGTCCTTCTGGCTGTTTTAGTGTTTGAACGTCCTTTATTTCTCAAAATGATGCTGATGAAGGAAGTAGGTTTTCCATCCCTCACCCCCCACCCCTTTTGGTCTTCAAAATTGTTTTGAAATTTCATTGAGCCATGAAATTTGAAGTCTAAGGATCACCTCTCTAACTTCTTCCCCATCAGAACAGAGAGGGCCTGCTGTTAGTCATATACTGTGTTGACCAGTTGTCCAATAACCCTACACCTTAAAAGGCTCCTCTCACGTCAGAAAAGAACTTTCTTCCCATTAAAGACTGTTACATGACCCTAAGTGAGCCAAGAGGTTTTATAGGTATGGCCACACATTTTTAAGGCTGGGCTTTATATCAAGAAAGTCAAATTGTTTTGCTTTGATTTGATTGGGGATTGAGAAGACAGTGAATGTTTAGAGAGAACACTATGAGGTCCCCTTTCCCAGGGATGAAGACCCAAGATCTTCCAGTCTATAATTTCAATCTTTTCCATTCCTCTGCCCTAAAGACCATTGTTATAGGAAACAAACTAATTCTCCCTAACCCCTCTCTCTTCACTTCCTATTCCCTTTCTTTTCGCATCCACCATAGGTTTTTCCAAACCCTAAACCCAGAAAGTAGGGTGATACTATTACTCCTGACAACAGTCATCCATTGCTTTGGCCAGTAGGATTTCCACTGCAGATTCCCACTTGGGAAAGCTAGACGGTCACACCACCCAAGAAACCCACAGGCAGGTCTATGTTGATGGACAAAAGTGGGGAGAAAGGAGAAAATATTTGGTCTAAGACAGAACCACAGGGTGTCTAAACTTGAGAAACTAAAAGCAGCTTTAGTGAAAGGGAAGCCTTGATGTTGGGAAGTCTGAGTCAAGACTTCAGTCTTTTCATCTGTACGTAGATGTTAATGAGCTCAGCACAGGATTAAGATGAAACTACAGGGTTTTGGTAAAAACCCCTCAATACTGACAATGAGCAACAGACATTTTTTAAAGAACAAAATAAGAGAAGAAAAACTGTAACATCTTGGTTTGACTAAGTATTGGTAATTCCACTGTATCGTTGATTACATGCTTATCCTTTAAGCCTAATTACCTTGCAGAACCATTAATACACAATCATCAAATATGCATCATTTGCACTTGCTGGATTTTATCACCACACTAGATTGTTTGAGAATATTCAGTTCTCCTTGTTAGCAGCTCACAGGGCCTGGTCACTTGTTCACAACCTTGAAAGGAATCTGACTGGGTCATGTTTATCAGCATGACCCAGCAAAGGGTATAAATTGTCAATGCCTCATTTTCAAACTAGTGATTAGACTTTTCAAAGCGAGTCAGATAACTCCCCAACTAGTTCTTGCCCCATAACAGATCTGTGATTATACACATTTATGTCTAATCATTTTGTAATTTTCTAAATTTTAAGGAAAAATCCTCCCTAGCTTGCTTTTGTATCTCCTACTATGGTACTTAACAGTAATTAACAAAGGTTTTTATTGACAATTTAATGAATGCTAAGTTTCCATGAGTTACTGACCTCCAAGCACATCAAACCTGTTCAACATGTAATCTCACACATGGATAAGGATTTTGCAAGATGCTTTCACTCTCCTCTGGTGACAATTCACAACCAGCTAATCTGAGTAAGCTGTTAAAAGTGGAACTGTGTGCTAGGAGCCCAGCCTGCCCACAGTCCACCATCTGACAAGTTGTACTAAACTTTAGTCAACTTTCACTGTATCGGCAGGGAAGAAAATACACCAGTTCAGCAGGAGAGAATAAGAAAATGACAAAGAGACAGAACAGTCAGTCATACTTTGGGAGATAGGGGAGTTAAAAAAAGAGAAAGAAAGAAAAGAATTAACTTAGAAGATTCTTTTACAAGCAGAAAGCAGATGCGAAGAAAATAAAAAAACCACTGTCTTCCCCCTCCCAATCCCCTTCCCATAAAATGTTTGAACATAAAACTATGTCGACTAACTTTCCCCATCTAGCTGCCCAGGGCATAAACACACACCTGCAGAAGCAAGGGGGAAAAGAATTCTCACTACGTTGCTCCTCTTGTGGCAAAGAAAGAAAATCTCTCACTCCTACATAAATCTCAAAAAAGGCTATCTCCTACGGGTTTCGACTGCTAAATGGGGCTGATTATGACATAACATGTTAAAATGCTCTTTATTTACAATCCCCTTACAATTGTTTTTGTGAGAGCTGAATGAGACAGGTTGGAACTGTTAGCTATTTGCCATTCTTTGAGATTCTAATAAGGTGAAGTGGGTGACCTAAGTCACACAGCAGGTTGATGGCAAGTCTCAGCTCACACTCAAACCTCTAGGCAGTAGGGTCCACCTGTGTTTACTAAGGAAAATATGCCAAAGCAACATTCTGACTAAGGAGCCTGAAATACAGACAATGGAAGATGGAAAACTCAACAGATCTAAGATTCACAAATATCCAAAATACACAGATAATATTTGGGAGTGGTAGGGAAAAGGATTGATTTTGGGTAACATACATTAATTTCAGTAAATGTGGATTATATTTTATACACTCAATTTTGAGTACAAAAAATATTTAGAACCTACTTTAGGTCTATAAAACATTCTGTTTAAAAGAAACACATGTTTAACCACCACCATTGATCAAAAATACCCCAAAAAATGTATAATTCTATATCCACATTTGACTTGATCTAGATCACAGGTTATTGGTCTTCTGTAATAAAAGGGCCTTTGCACTTAAAACAATGCCAAAAAGTCCTTCTTATCTGCTTGTCACATTCTGGCCCTAAAAGCACAAAGTTCTGGAAAGGCGATTCTCTCTCCACCAGGAGAGGAGGTGCAATATTCTCAAGTGTGCAGGACTGAGTGCCATATCTCCTTGACCAAAATCATCAGGGGTTGAGTGTTGAGTTGTAAGTAAAATTTGAGTGCCTCCAGGAGGCTCCCCGCCTGAAGTGAAAGTTACTACAGTTAGAAGAACTGAAAAGGGCAGTCTGAAGCACTGAAAAATAGAAATCTGAAATGAACAGGAGTTCCATCTCTCCACTAAGGGCTCTGAAGAGAGTGACTCCAGATGCAGAGAGAGGGCCTTACTCCTTATCCCCATTTATTTACCAAGCAGTGACTTTGGATCATAATCTAGTCCTCCGAGTAGGTTTTCTTATTGCAAACACCTATTGCTGGCTCTCATTAACAAGCTTTCTGATTCTTCTCAATCTACTGCAGTGGTTCTCAACCAAGAGTGATTTTGTCCCCAAGGGGACATCTTTGGTTGTCACAACTGGAGGGCAGGGTGCTATTGGCATCCAGTGGATAGAGGCCAGGGACACAGATAAACATCTTATAATACACATGATAGCACCCCAAACAAAGAATTATCCAGACCAAAATGTCAATGGCGCTATGTACCTATACTTCAGTTATTACCAGACTATGTACCCATGCTTCAATTTATTTCTAGAAACATGAGTTTATTAAGGTCACTAATGCAATGTATAAGTTTTTGAACCCTAGGTGATAAAACTTTTGCATTATTTAACTTTTTTTCTGTGCTTTATTCCACGAAATTCAATGCCTAAGTTTTCACGCTGGTTCCTGAATTATACATAATTGTTAAACATAAAATGCCTTGATTCTATAATCTATTTCTTAATGTAATGATCAAGTGGAATAGATTAAAAGAAAATAATGTGGAAAAAAAAAACAGTGCTGAGGTTGAGAAACCCTCACCTTGGAGAACACATGGAGCCTGAACACCAAGTAAATTATCTCAAGTAGGCCTCAGGTCAGCAGAACACAGAGGCCGGACCCTGAAGCGCAAAGAGTTAACCCAACTCCAAGCCTTTTCCCAATATCAACCTAATAATATGCACCTTTCCTCCAAGGAACTTGAGAATAAAAGGCAATTTTACATATTGCCCTTTATAAGGACTTAACTCTCAGAGCCAGGGGGCATTTTGAAGAGCAGCCTCTCTAGATTCTTAATTTGTGCATTTTAACTAGAATCAGTATTTTTTAGAGAAAGATAAAAGGCCAAGTTCCTAAGGGTTTGTCCAGTTCACCAAGTGATTCAATTGTGAAATTAGTCTTAAAATCTAAGTCGATTTTCTCTTAGACCTACCATTTTTTGCATAGTTGACTTGCAAATTCACATTTTAGTATGTACCAACTTTATTAGATTTTTACTTTGTCATCTTTTTCCTAAAGTATTCTTACTCTTGATCTCAATAGCTACCCTCTTGCCTTCCTAATTAGCACACGGAATACAGCTTAATTTTTACCAAAGGTCCAGGACTTAGAATTGACATTTTGAGCACTTGGTTCTTAACACTTAAGGATATTTGGTTCAAATGCTCCAGTGATTAATTTCAATTTTGCTGCATAGGAAATAGAGGATTTCAGATAAATAAGGTTACATTTCACTAAAATATTTTAAAGTAAAAAAGATAATGTAACAGAAGACAATCTATAACCAGCAAGGAAAATGAAGGGAAAAACAAAATAAGCATTTTCCCTTCTTTTTAACCAAACTACAAGAATATTCCTAAAAATATGTTGTAGGGTATTAGCAGATATTATACATAAAAGAGTGCCAAGGTCAAGTAAGTCTGGGAAACAGCTCTGTGTCCCCACCCCTATCCCCACCCCTGGAGGAATCATTTCATATACTAGCAGATGAAGGCTCCAAAATGTCGCTCAAGGTCATCCCATAGTTTCCAAATTTATGAGAACCATAGAACACTCTGTAGTATAATCTCTATTAAGCTATCTTATTACATGTTGTTACCATTTTATTTGAGTTCATTTTAGCAGCTGAGCCAAAATCCACCAGCTTGATGTGTCCCGTTCGGTCAATGAGAACGTTCTCGGGCTTGATGTCTCTGTAAGAAAATCAGGTCCACAAATTAGTGTTGTCTTCTCCATGCCAATCAGCAAGCAACCGCTTACCTAGGATACTGATTCAGCCAAGAATCTTAGTGCCTGTATTCTGCTATACAGACCTCCCTATTGATAGACATAAATAATAAGCAAACATTTTGCAAAACAAATTCAAGTTTAAAAAAAGAAGAAGAAGAAAGTAAAGAAGGGAGGGAGGGGAGAGACAGGAAGGAAGGAAGCGAGGAAGGGAGGGAGGGTAAGGGAAGAAAGAGAAGGAAAGGGAATAAATACATGTTATTAGATGGATTATTTCTCCTAGAGACACACATTTTACATTAGGTAAACTAAGGCCAAAAGAAACTAGGGGACTTGCCCAAGGTCATGGAGCTAGTCAATGGAAAAAGTGAGACTCTATTCCAGATTTCGTGATTCCTGGTCTAACTATTATTCCATTCCCAGAACATTCTCAGATGTACATAAAACATCAGATGAGTGAGGTGTAAAGAAACACTTTTCAACTGAGGATTCTGTGGAATACCTTCATAAATTACTAACAGGCGAGGTCCGAAGTGCAACCCCATGGTCTTCCACTCCCATGTAGTATGCCAGTTCCTTCTGCAAACCAAATTCAGTGTTCCTACCAACAAACCCATGCAAGAGTTCCCGGTCTCATTAGCTATGTTAACAGATCTTACCAGCAAACCTAAGAATGTTACAATTCTAGATCTATTTCACTGTTGAATGGGTAAGCTGAAATGTGTGCCATTTTGGAAAATTTACTTTCAGGCAGTTATAGTTAAGACTGCCTAAAAATTGGAGGGAGTATAATTTTGATGCTGAAATCATTCATCCATTCACTCTATTGTAGGAACTCTTAAGTGATACAGATAAATTCTCAGTATACAACCAGAGGATCTCACTTACCGATGTACATATCCCATCTGATGAATGCTGTGAACAGCCAAAATCAGTTCAGCTAGGTAAAATTGAATCATATTTTCATCTAATTGGTCCTCATATCTATTCAAAAGTGACAGCAAGTCCCCTCCAGGCTGATATTCCATGACCTGTATAGAATATAAAGGTATTAATTCTTCATACACCAAAAAAAAGGGAATGTCTCAATTAGACCCTCAAATACTGCCTGATGTGTTATAATTACAGTGTCTCTACAAAGCAATGAAGATGTGAGACGTATTGTAAGTCACGTAGGATGAGGTCTCTGCCCTAAAGAACTTACCCAAGAGAATCAATATAATCAAAGACTAGTCTCAGATACCATGCCCAATGTTTGCAAGGCAAGCTTGAAAAGTTGAATTAAATCCACCCACTCACCCACCCACCCAAGTCCACACCCCAGACATTCCCTGGGATTAGGTACACAGCGTAGACGGAAATTCCTGGAGGCAACAAACCCTCTTGCATCCTTTTTGCATTCCCCTCAGCACCCAGCAGAATATAGGAGGTGTGCAATAAATGTGATACAATCTTTTCCTTTAACAGTCAGTGTGGAAAGCAGTCTGACCATCTCTATTACAAATTTAAATGTGAACACATACCCTTTGACCTAGTAATTCACTTCTGACCATTTATTTGACAGGAACTTATACTAGTTTGTAGATAGACAAATAGATCCACTGCAGCACTGTTTGTAACATGGGAAAAAAACCGTGGAAATCACTCAAATATCCATCATTAAGAGACTGCTAAAATATGATATATCTAAACAATGGGATAAGATGCAGATATTAAAAAAATATGGACTCGATCTATTCATACTGCCATGGAAACCGTCCATGAAAATATAAAGTGAGAGCCGGCCCGGTGGTGTAGTGGTTAAGTTTGAGCGCTCCACTTCAGCGGCCCGCGGTTTGCAGGTTCGGACCCCAGGCGTGGAGCTACGCACAGCTTATCAAGCCATGCTGTGGCAGGCAGCAACATATAAAGTAGAGGAAGATGGGCAACAGATGTTAGCTCAGGGCTAATCTTCCTCACAAAAAAAAAAACATATATATATATATA